CTAAAAATATATAGAAAAATTAGCTGGGCATGGTGGTGCATGCCTGTAGTCCCAGCTACTCCGGAGGCTGAGGCAAGAGGATCACTTGAGCCCAGGAGTTTGAGGTTGCTGTGAGCTGGGCTGACGCCATGGCACTCTAGGGCACTCTAGCCCGGGCAACAGAGTGAGACTCTGTCTCAAAAAAAATTAAATAAATAAATGGAGTAAGCTCATTTGTTTAAGAACACAGTTATCAGGTTGGAGAAAGCCTGCTACATACCCAAAGGAAAAGTACGAAGATAGGTGGGAAAGGTACATACAAATAGTTGGGGGAGGTGGAGAAGAAACAAACAAAAAGGAAACCAACCCCTAGTGCAGCTACAAGAGGCAAAAGGAATGCACACCAAATATTTATTATATTAATAGATCCTTAGAAACTTGCAAACATCCCTTTTGGTGCCCTTCCCTTTGCTCTCCCTTTGCTGCGACAAATGGTCTGGTCATCATCTGTGGCGTGTGTACCATGCTTTGTAAACCCATATACTCCTGCCCTATGATCCTATTTTTCTCTCCTCTATAAACCTCATTGTCATGCTTGCCTTAAAAATAAAAAATAAAGAAACTACGCCTTTAACAACATATAACAAAATATTACTCTAAAAATTAAAAACAATAAAAACAAAATGGGAAAAATTATGTTTTGAAACTTTCAAAGGCATACCTGAAATAACTTATGGCTTAAAGAGGAAGTCACAGTAGATATTTTAAAGCAAGTAACAATGAAAGACCAACATATTAAAACTTGTGGAATGCAAATAAAAATTATGAATAAAGTTGTAGGTCCAAAAAGAAATATTTAAAATAAATTAATTAAGCATATAAATCAAGAAGCTAGAAAAAAATAAAAAGAAAAAGAAACATTTAAAAGGTAAAAAAATTTAAAAAAAGGGATGGATGAGGATGTGAGTATCAAATGAGGATATATAGAATAAAATAACCAAAGAAAATATTTACATACTCAAAAACTTTCTTTCAGAAAAACTAATAAAATAAATCTCTAGCAAGATTTAACAAGGAAAGAGAAAAGGGACACAAATAAAGCATATTTAAAATAAAAAAAGTTCACAAACAGAAAAATAAAACTTTTAAATCATAAGAAAATATTAATACTATAAACAATCCTATGTCTATAAATTTCAAAACAGATGAAATAATTTTGTATCAAATCATGAATTAACATAGTTCACTGAAGAAGAAATAAAATTTGAATAAACAAATAACAACTATTTGTACAATGAATCTGTAATTAAAAGTCCACTGCCCCTACTCGAAAATAAAACAACCCAGACAGATTTATTTATGATCTTTGACAGATTTTAAAAGAACCAAAAAATAATCCCTTTTTGCACAAGCTATTTCAGAGTCACAGAGAAGAAATACTCAACTTCAGACAAGGATAGTAAAAGAAAAGACTATTATGAATGATATCTCTTTTGAACATAAATGGAAAGTTCTCAAATGATACATAAGAAATATATTAATATACTACATCAGTAAATTAGAGGAGGAAAAAGTACATGATTACCTCAAAAGAAACACCAAAAAATATACAAAATCCAGCACTAATTCATAATAAACAGAATATTCTTAATTTAACAAAGGGTATCCATCAAACACTTAAAATAAACATTATATTTAATAGTGAAACTTAAAAGCATTCATTCCCTTTAAGGTCAAGATCAAGATGATGATGCACATCATCACTGGTTTTACTAAGCGTTGTACTTGAGGTCCTAGCCAATGGAATAGAACGAGAAAAAGAAATATAAGAACTGGAAGGGAAAAAAAACTAAGCTATCCTTGCTTATCATAGACAATATAATTATTGCATCAGACCAAATAGACTAGATTATGCCACAGATAACCCCAAAATCTCAGGGACTTAACCTTGAAAGTTTGTTTTCACAAAAGCAAAGCCAACTGCTGATCTAGGCTCCTCTTGAAGGTAGTTGCCCTCTGTATGTTGGCTTATCATCTTATACTATTTTGATCTCACAGCATGTTCATACCAACATGTGCTTACACAGCAGAGAAAGGAGAGCTGGAAAGTCAACCACCTGGAGTGAAATGTCTCCGCCCACGTCCCTCCAGCCTCCATTTCATTGGCCAGGAAAATTTACATGGTTGTGCCTAATTTGAAGAGGCTGGGGAAGCCCAATCCTCCCATGTGCTAAGAAGACAGCAATAACCAAAATATCTAATACAGTTATCTACATAAAACATTCAAGAGAATCTACCTATAAACTATTATCCATGAGAAAATTTATCACATTTCTGTGGTATTATTACTAAAATGCATAACTTCAATCTGCATATAAGAAAATGTCAGGCAAGTCCAAATTGAAGAATATTCTGCAAATAACTTCCCTGAACTCTCTCAATTTATCAAGTTGATGAAAGACAAAAAAAAGACTGAGGAACTATTACAGATCAAATAAGATGACATGACAACCAAATGCAATATGGTATTCTGGCTGGGGTCAGAAAAAGGACATTAGTGGGAATACTGGCATAATTTAAATAAGATCTGAAGGTTTAAGAATGTTAAGGATATTGTATCAATGTGAATTTCCCTGTCTCAATAGTTAAACTATGGTTAGGTAAGATGTTAATGTTAGGGAAAGTTCAATGAAAGATATACAAGAACTCTGTATAATCTTTACAACTCTTCTCTAAGTCTAGAATTCTTTCCAAATAAAAAAACAGCAACAAGGTTGGGAACAGTGACTCACACCTGTAATCCTACCACTCTGGGAGGCTGAGACAGGAGGATGGCTTGAGGCCAGGTGTAAAGACCAGCCTGAGCAAAGGCAAGACCCTGTCTCTACCAAAAACAGGAAAACTTAGCCGAGTGTGATGATGCGTGCCTGTAGTCCCAGCTACTCGGGAGGCTGAGGCAGGAGGATCACTGAAGCCCAGGAGTTTGAGGTTGCTGGGAGCTAGGCTGACAAAATAGCACTCTACCCAGGGCAACAGAGTAAGACTCTGTCTCAAAAAACAAACAAAAAAAAAAAATTAAAAATAAGTAAAAGTAAAAAACAGCAACAAAAATCTCACTCACAAAAGCATCAAAAACTACAAGGAAAGTAACAAGAACTAAATCTAACAAAAGTTGCGCAGGACTGCTACAGTACGTACAAAACGTTCTTGAAAGACACTCAACGAACAATATAACAAATAACAACACAATAAATAACAAATTTAAAAGACGTGAACTAGGTATAGACATACCACGTTCATATATACATTTAAATCATAAAGATGTCTTTTCTCCACAGACCTAAAAGACTTGGAAGAATGGCTAAAAAGTGCAAGGCAGTAACTTACCTTCCCAGAGGAAGACATCTTATAAAGACAGAGCAATTAAAACAATGTAGTATTTGGGTAGAAACAGACAAAATACACTATGACAAAACAGAACAAAGATTCCAGAAATAAACCTACAAACTTTTGGACTGAACATGACAATGGAAGCTAAAAATTCTTACATAGAACGAAAGGCCAAAAATAGGTGAAAACATTATAAAGAAAAATAAGGTAGGGAGAGTTGATCTATATATCAAGACTGTTATGGCGGCGTGTGCGAGTCCGAATTAAATGGAATTTGCGAGCCTTTATTAGCTGGCCAGGACTGTTCCTGGTTTGCGAGACTCGAGCACAGGGAGCAGCCCCGCGCCATGACGGCAGAAAGCTTTTATACTATTTTGGGTTGGTGGCTACAGTGACTAGAGGCACATAAGTGAGGGTATTGTGTGTACATTTTACAATGTTCTCTCCAGGTGGAAGGAGCCTAGGGCCGGCCTTGAGCCCCTGCACAGAGAACTGTCTCAAAGCTAGCTATTTACAGAAACAGCGTCAGTTAATCTCGAGTACAGTAAATTTTACAGCATGCAGCTGGCAGAATATGCATTCAATTACAAGTGGATTGCTTTGCTTTCTTCTTATAACAATTTAAGTGTCCCACCACGGTGAAAGGGCACAAGCAACCAGAACCTTATTTTAGCTGGCCTCAACAAAGACTTGACATATACTTACTATTCGATAAGGTATTTGTGAGGTATAAACCAATAGACGGATGCTGTGGACTCAATTGTGTCCCCCTAAAATTCGTGCGGGAGCTCTAACCCCAACATGACTGTATTTGGAGAGAGCTTTCAGGAGGTAATTAAGGTTAAGTGAGTTTCATAGGGTGGGCTTCTAATTCGGTATGGTTGGTGGCCTCATGAGAAGAGGAAGAGAGAGAAATCTCGCTCCCCATGTTAAGGACACGGACAGAAGGCAGCTGTCTGCAGCCCTGAAGTGGCCACATCAGAGCCCAACCGAGCCGGCACCCTGCTTTCAGACTCCCTAGATTATGGAACCACAAGGAAATAAACTTGTGTTGTTTAAACCACCCAGTCTACGGTACCTTGTTGTGGCAGCCCAGGCAGACCAAGACATCCTATAAAATAGTCCAGAAACAAATCCACACTTACAGGATAGAAATGGTATCACACATCACCAGAAAAAGGAGCGACTACTGAATTAATGATCAGGGACTACTGACTATTCCCATGAAAAAATTAAATTTGAATCCCTAACTCACAACACACCAAAAGAAAATCCAAGGGAGATTAAAAATTTAAATTGTGGAAAATGAAAACTTTTAAGACAAAAAGCTTTTCCTTAAGAAAAAGAACAAATCATAAGTGGAAATTTGGTGAATATGACCAAATTAAAAATAAAAAGTTACCATTCAATAAAATGTAAAACTACAAGCCACAGACTAGGAGTAGATATTTGTAATGTATATTACTAAAATGAAGGATCTAGAATTTCTAAATTAACTATACAAATCAATAAGAAAATGATACCCTAGTGAAAAATGAACAAAAGACATAAACAGTCATTCACAGGAGAGAAAGCCCAAATGGTTGAGATATATATACATGAAAAGATGATCAGGAAAACTTAAAACTCACCTTAAAACACAGAGATTTTATTTCACACCGCTCATATTAAAAATTTAGAAGTCCAATAATTCTAAATGTTGGCGAAGCTATAGAGAAATTGAAACTGAGTTACAGAGGATAGGGATATCAACTGGCACAACCCTCTTGGAAAAATTCTTTAGTATCTAGTAGGAAAGATGCCCTTTGACCCCATCGTTCTCTTCTCCATATGTACTCTAAAGGAAACTCATACTGTTACAGCAAACAAGACCAGGAAACAAACCGAAAGCCATACGAGAGTAACACCAGCGGGCTCAGAGGAGTCTCGCCTCCAAATTCTGAGCAAAATGGGGTCTAAGCCCAGTGGCTTTTATATGTTACAGAAACAAATGGTTACAAAGTCTGCAGAAGCCCTTGGTCTAGTCCCGTGTTACTCTATAGTTACTTAGATATGTTATTTTGCCATTATGCACAAGATTGAAATCTAGGCAAAGGTCACTCTACAGTTGCTTATGCTAGTTTACAGTTACGCACTATTGGGAAGGGAGTGGAAAAATTCTCCCTTACAATACATGTGTGAAGGAGGAGACATGTACAAGAATGCATATTATTGCATTTTCATATGAAAAATGAAAATCACCTAAACGGCCACCAACAAAAGAATAGTTGAACTAACTGTAGTATAATCCTACAACATAATTTTATATAGCAATGAAAATGAATGAACTAGAGCTATGGCTCAACATGGCTAAACCACAACAACCAGGGCACAAATGGAAGCTCCAGGAAGAAAACAAAGTTCACATAAGTAGAGAAGCAATTAAGGACCATTCACTCAAATTGTATCTGAAGGTTCAGCTGAAACTGCCCTTGTTAAACATGCTTTATGGAGAGAAACAGCAGAACAAATATACATAAACACTACAGAAAGGATGCGGAAGGGGACAGGGAAGGAAAAGGAAATGCACAAAAGACAAATGAAGAAGGCAGCCTGGAAGAAAATATACTCCCAGACATGAATTAAAAACTTTCATGATAAGTGACTTGCTGCTACAAGAAATTAAGAACATGAAATCAGCAAACCAGAAAGGATATGTGAGATGACAAGGGACAGAATGAGATGAAAAAGAGAACTTGCAGAGTTCAGGAAACACAGTGATGGCCAAAACACAGCTATGGAATGAATAAATAAATTAGATACAGTAAGAAACAGAAATGACAGAGTTGTTAAGGCAAATAGTAATACTGAGGAATGGCTTCAGATGATTATACTGTGTTTCCCAGAAAATAAGACAGGGTCTGATATTTATTTTTCCTCAAGAAGACACCCTACGGGAGGATGGGAGGGGGAAGGAGGGGATGGGTAAAAAAAAAAAGACACCCTAGGGCTTATTTTCAGGGGATGTGTTTTTTTCCCCTCAAAGCCTCAGCTTGCAGCACGCACAAGATGGCTAGGACATGACAGGGGGAGCCGACCTTGTTGGTGGGGCTGCCTGCACCTTTCTGGTCACCTCTGCGATAGTAGCTGTCACGATGGGGCAGATGAGAAGGGCTGCTTGTCTTCTTTACCCCTCCACAAGAAAATGCATGGGTTGTGCAGATACACTGTATAGCCACACCCATCACCAGGTCTTATTTTCAGGGTAGGGCTTATATTACACAAATGCTTAGGAATCCTGCTAGGGCTTATTTTGTATGTGTTTTTTTTTCAGGGAAACACAGTACAGAATCAGAGTGTTTGTTTGTTTGTTTGTTTGTTTGTTTGTTTGTTTGTTTGTTTGTTTTAGAAATGGGGTCTTGATATATTGCCCAGGCTGGTCTTGAACTACTGGGCTCAAGTGACCCTCTTGCCTCAGCCTGGAGCTTAACCAAAAGAGATAGGAACCAAAATTTAGACAATGAACTAAATATTGTTCCTCTAATGTTAGTCATCTTATTCCAATTCTGCTGTTGCTCAAAATATTTTTGGATCACCTTTTTGGCAATTACTTTTCAAACCACATTATTTTTTAAAATTCAATAAGAGAAAACTAGTTTTGTTTCTTTATTTCCATATCTGATTCTTGATCCAAAGCAATGTTATTTACATCGCACGGTAAAGTGCTTGGTACATAACAAGCAAATAACAATAAGAACAATAATGGGTATAACTTACAAAGCACGCATATACCTGGCATTGTTCTTGTATGGGAAAATTTTTGCACTCGCCTCCTACTAACAGCACGGTTAAGCAACTATAGAGAACTTTGTAACTTCTATCTTATAATAGCAGAACTGCGAAATAGCATAGTTCTAAGCAACTTTTATAACTCTTATCTCATGCAAGCCTTGTAATCATTTTTTCTTCTGTAACCACCAACTTCCTGATAACAAATCATATAAAAAACAGCATCCTTTTTAACTCCAATTGCTCAGAATTTGGTGGCGAGTCCTCTCTGAGCCCGCCAGCATAATAAAAGCCTGTTTTGCAGTACATTCATGTGGCTCTCGGTTTGTTTCTCAGTCCTGTATGCCGTAACATTCTAATGTTCTTTTCATATCTGGAACCATTTAATCCTCATAACCACCCTCTATGAAATAAGTACTATTATTCTCTCTGATGTCAATTGAGGAAACTGAAGCATAAGTAACTTGCCCAAGGTCGCATAACATAACACATGAGCTGTTTATCTCTACAAGAATATTTATTCAATGGGTAAATAAATGATCAGCCATTTTCTTTACCTACCTTGGTCCCAAATGACTTCTGGCTCTTTGTCTTCTATTGAGGATAGGGGATGATGTTCCAAACTAGATACAAAAATTCTGGTTGATTTCTTTTTCAAGTGGGTCTCATTACATGATTATCCATGCCTCCTAATTCTGGTTTTCAACAAAGGCTGCATAAATTGTCCAAATCTCTACCCTGGTGCCCATCAAGATCTTCACTTCGCATCTTCAGACACAGGGTTGGTTAGGAGATCAACTCCTTTCACAGGCAAAGGAAAGTGTTGTCAAAAGTCTTGAGATGCTAGCCACAATACCTGACGGAACCCGATCCTCAGGCCAGGGCAGAAGTGAAAAGCGTGGGATTAGAAGGGCTGAGAGGAGCCCTCACCCAGTCCAGCGACCTTCTGGGAGCAGGAAGAGGCAAAAGAGGAAATAAGGAGCAGAAGGACAAAGGTCAACAGAACAGCAACATACACAGGAAGCGAAAAACCTGGGTTTACCCAAGGCACCAATCTGGGCTGGGACCCAGGAACAAGGCTGTGAGCTCCTAGAGGTTGGTTCATAGGGAGATAGGGGTGTGGTAGTTCAAGGTGTGTCAGGTTCAAGAAGGGACCCCATCCTCTGCAGCATCCCAGTCACCTGGGAGAGAGGCTGGCAAGGGCCAGGCAGCTTTTCAAAGCCATTGGAACCAGCACTGAGGATCAGGATCCAGTCCTGGCAGAGAGCAGCGCAGAATCTGATCAGAAGCCAAGTCTAATGCACGAGCAATGCCATGGAAGGGAAGGGGGTCTCCCGGCACGCCGGTGCCTGGGCTCAGAGCTCAACGCCAATTCCATGCCCAGGAAGGAGGAGACGGAGATGCTGGAACCCTCCCAGGATAGGTGCAAACTGGCCCCAGCAATCTGCGGCTGGCAAGTGCTCGCAATCAGTGGGGCGGACCCAGGAAGAAGGGCCACACTCTGGTGTCCTCTGCTGAAGGATGAAGGTCACCACCCAAGCAAGGAAGCTTGGCCAAGGTTAAGGATGCAGAATCTCATAAAATCAACTAACAAAGGTGGCCCTTGTTCATTCAAGGGACCTACTTAGAAACCTTGCAAAAGAAAGGACGCCCGTGTCTGGAAGAACCTTTGTGAAGCATTGTCCCTGCCAATTTTCCGAGGTGACAACACAGGGAAATATCTTTCTCTGAGACGCATTTCTAAGAGTTGCCGTCAAGGCCTGTAAAGACTTAAGAAGTGGGCTGGTTGCGGTGGCTCACGCCTGTACTCCTAGCACTCTGAGAGGCCAAGGCAGGGATCGCTCAAGCTCAGGAGTTCGAAACCAGCCTGAGCAAGAGTGAGACCCCATTTCTACTAAAAATAGAAAGAAATTAATTGGCCAACTAAAAATATATAGAAAAAATTAGCCAGGCATGGTGGTGCATGTCTATGGTCCCAGCCACTTGGGAGGCTGAGGCAGAAGGATCTTGAGCCCAGGAGTTTGAGGTTGCTGTGAGCTGGGCTGATGCCACGGCACTCTAGCCCGGGCAACAGAGTGAGACTCTGTCTCAAAAAAAAAAAAAAAGACTTAAGAAGTGTAGAATTACTTAATTCTGCAAGCCTGTCCTCCCCGAATTTAGGAACAACTGGGGGAGGTCAGCCAAACATGATTTCATATGGTGTTAAGCCTTTTATATATGGAGTACATCTGAATCTCAATAAGGCAAAAAGAAGAAGGCTCACCCAGTCTTCGCCAGTCTCTAGCTTAAGGAAACATTGACTATAAAATAATAATAACAACAACAACTAATGGGGTCAAAATGAGAGAATTCTAACGTATGACAAATGAACACAAGTCAAGAGGAGAATAAATGTAATTAACAGTTTAGGCCGGGCGCGGTGGCTCACGCCTATAATCCTAGCACTCTGGGAGGCCTCCGGTGGATTGCACAAGGTCAGGAGTTCGAGACCAGCCTGAGCAAGAGCGAGACCCCATCTCTACTAAAAATAGAAAGAAATTAATTGGACAGCTAAAAATATATAGAAAAAAATTAGCTGGGCATGGTGGCACGTGCCTGTGCCCAGCTACTCGGGAGGCTGAGGCAGGAGGATCACTTGAGCCCAGGAGTTTGAGGTTGCTGTGAGCCAGGCTGACGCAATGGCACTCTAGCCCAGGCAAGAGAGTGACACGACTAATCAAAAAAAAAAAAACCAGTTTAAGCTCTTTTTGTGATCCTAGTGGAGGATAAAAGTATTGATTAACTACAGATTTTGATCAAAAAGTATGTGTGGGGGGGGTGGTGGTTCTAAGGTGACCACTAAAATAATAGAATCAGAGTTCATGATTTCCAAACCGTTAGAGGAAATTAAAAATAATTAAGCAACCCCCAAATAAGGCGAGATGGAAGACAACACAAAACAGAATAGGCAGTATAAGTAGAAAGCTCAGAATAATGGGAAATCCAAACACAGCAGTAATTACATTAAATGTAAGCAAACTAAACGCCTCGTAACCGCCAGACTAGGAGAAACGCGCATGGGCGCGGCTCTCAACCGCAGCCTGCTGCAGCTTCTCCGTGGCCCGCTGCGGTCCCGGTCCCCGTGCCGGCCGGCCTGACAGGAGGACGCTCCCAGGGGTCAGATGAGGAACCTCCGGCTGTTCGAGCACCGGGCCTGGTCTGCAGAGGGAAGAAAGGCAAATGGCTAAGTTGGTGACAGACTGCGGCTGCTCTCGGGACTGGCTAACCATGAACACGTGGAGGAACAAGCGACATTCCCTGAAGAAGCCTGCGAGAGGGCGGTTTGGGAGAGCACCCCTTTGACCGCTCACTGCCTGGCTGCAGAGTGCCCGAAGAGCCCTGGCCTCCAGGGGGACACGGTGCTGTTGGTTTTGCCACGTCCCGTTTTCCCCTCGGGCAGCAAGGTGGCTGTCTCGCGGGCTCGTTCCTGATGCCAACCACGGAGGCTGCGGCTCGGGAGCAAGAGTTCTGAAGAACACCAGCGAGCTGTGATGAAGTGTCGCTACAGCAACATGCCCTTCTTGATAGCAGAATGGAATAAACCGTCCTTCAACGCCTACAACAGAAGAAGGTGCTTCTGATCTGTCAGCAAAGAGGGAATGGAGACTCCTCAAGATCCACAAGGAGCACCTGTTAAAAACGGCAGCAGAGGCGCTAGCAGTGTGGGTGCAGAAGATCAACTTCCCTTCTATTTTAGAATGAATCCTCCACTTACCTTGCGTTCTGTCCTGTGTGTATTGAAATACAGAATGGGCATCCACCCTTTGCAAAGCTCTACTCCCAGCAGCATTGTGGCACGTTTGGAATTTGGTCTGTTTACAATGGCAATCTTGTATACAGTTTGCAGTCAGATTTCTCCTTGAATATCTTGGTAAACAACAGGTGGTGTGATCTTAATATGTGATCTCAAAAAACTTCATTCTTGTGAATCATTTAAATGTTTACCAGTGTACACGCTGGTACTTAGAGTTTCTGTTTTGATTCTTTTTTAATAAACTACTCTTTGATTTAGCAAAAAGAAAAAATATAACTGTATGCTATTTGCAAAAGATACATGTCAAATATAAGGATAACGAGGGGTGAACATTCATGGATAAAAAATATATCATGCAAAAAATAATTTAGAGATGATATAACTATATTAAAATCAGCACAGAGTAGAAGGCAAAAAGCATTGCTTGAGTTAAAATGGGTCACTCACAATGGCGCAAAACTCAATAGACCAGGGTGATATAACAATTTTAATTAATATATATCTAATAACTTAGCCTCAAAATATGAAGCAAAATCTACAATGATGGTAGGAGAATTTTAACACTGCTCTGTCAGCAATGGGTAGAATAGGCAGACAAAAAATGTTAGAAATAAATATCGTGAATAACAAATGTGATCTAATGAACATACCTGGAAAATCCTCATCAGTAATAAACACATTCATAAATTTAATAATGTTCTGAACTGAAAGTTTATGAAGATGCTACATATCAAAACCTATGGACAGCAGCTGAAGCTGTATACAGGAAGAAACTCATATCCTTGAGCATGTGTATTATACATAGAAAGGCAGAAAGACTAAAAATGAGTGAGCCCAGACTCCCTCTCATGAGTAAGAAAAGGGACAGCAAATAAAACCCAAGGAAGTGGTGAGCTGTGGAGCCCCACAGTGCAACAGAAGATTCTGCTGCAGGTTCCTGGCCCCTGTATTAATGGAGCGAATACAAATTACAATTTCAGGGAAATACTACTACACACCCACCATGTTGGTAAATGCTACCAGGCCTGGCAATACCAATGCTATGGAATACTTATAGCAACGAGACCTTCTCACCCTGCCTGTGGGCTAAATTAGTACAATCAATCTGGAAAACAATTTGATATTTTCTATTAAAGTTGAAAATATATATCCCTCAGCAATGCTGCATTAGGACTATAAAGAATAAAGAAATGAGTGTATTTGGCACTAAAGTCATCACAGTGTCCACGGGACATTGTTTGTAACGGCCAATAGAGGCAGACAACCTAAATGCCCGCCAGCCACAGAGAGAGGCCACTGCGTTATATTCACACCACAGAATATACGATTGTAATGTAAACAATTAAACTACAGCTATAAAGCAAAAACAATTTTTAAAATACAGGGAAATTCAATGCCAATATTTAGGAATGCATACAGAGACAGAACTATAAAGAAAGGCAAGAAATTGGTTATCAAAAGAATCAAGATCTATTTTTTAGGAGAGGCAGAGAAGAAGCTTCTAGGGTGTCGGCTGACCAGGTTACAGTTTCCTGAGATGTGAGAAAGTAGACGAGAGACAAAGAACACATTCCAAAACTCAGAAATAAATAAGTCTGGAACACATTTAGCATGTATTATTCTTTAAGTAGAAATAAAACTCAACAGACATTAGTTAATAAATAGATAATGTTATTGCACACTTATTAGAATGAACGAAATCCAGAAAGCTGGACACATTGCATGCTGGTGAGAAAGTAGAGCAACAGGAACTCCCATTCATCACTGGTGGGTGTGCAAAATGGTGCAGCCACGCTGGGAGACAGTTGTGCAGTTTCCTATGAAATTAAACATACTTTTACCATAAGAGTCAACAATCACACTCCCTGGTATTTACCCAAAGGAGCTGAAACCTTATGTCCACCCAAAAAGCTGCACATGAATGTTTACACACCTTTATTTAGAATTGCCAAAGTTGGAAGCAACCAGATGTCTTTCAGTAGGTGAATGGATGAACTGTGGTGAATGGATGAACTGTGTGATACATCCAGAAAACAGAGTATTATTCAGGGCTAAAAAGAAACGAGCTAACAAGCCATGAAAAGAGACATGGAGCGAACTTAATTACTAAGTGAAAGAAGCCAATCTGAAAAGTCTGCACACTGTATGATTCCAACTCCATGACATTCTGGAAAAGGCAAACCATGGAGACAGTGGAAAGATCAGTGGCTGCCAGGGGTTAGGAGGAGAAGGGAGGGAAGAACAGAGCCCAGGGGATTTTTAGGGCAGTGAAGCGACTCTGCATGATGCCCTAGTGGTGGATCCATGTCATTACACATGTGTCCAAGCCCATAGGATGGTCTGTGGGGCGCGGTGACAACGCCATTACAAGATGGCGCCGATTTCCGGTGGCCCGCCTGTAGTAAACAAGTTCAGCGCATGCACAGAGTAAGTCCTGGCCGGTTCTATAAGTATGCATATGAAGGATCTTAGCTTGGCCTATCAGTAATAACCCTCGCGCGCTTTTAACCTATCCCCATCACTTCCCTCCTTCCTTAGAGTATATAAGTGTGTGAGAGCTTGTGCTCAGGGTCTTCTGCATCATGCAAGTCTAAAGGGAACCCCATTAAAGCACTGTCAGAAGAACTCCAGTTGCCGCGTCTTCCTTGCTGGCGAGGCGGGCGCGACAATGGTCAACACCAAGAGTGACCCTCATGTAAACTGTGGACTCTGGGTGACAGTGATGTGTCAGTGCAGGTTCGCTGACTGTCACAGATGTACCTCTGGGGCCAGGGGTGTCATAGTGGGGGAGGCTACATATATGGGGGGCTGGAGGGTGTATGAGAAATCTCTGTACCTTCTACTCAATTTTGCTGTGAACTAAAACTGCTCTAAAAAGTACAGTCTATGAAATGCAAAAAAATTCATGAAAAATCTATATTGCCAAATAAAGAAAACATATGAAGACAACAGCATCTCTGAGCCATCAGCGATAAACAATGACCTCTTTCTCTTTCTGTCTCTAGGGGTCAGCCTGCTCTCTAGAGCAACGCTTCTCGGCCCTGGCTGCCTAGAGAGCTTTTAAAACTCCCAAGGCCTGGCATGTAACCAGACCAATTAAATCAGAATCCCCCGGGACAGAACCAAGCATCCGTATTTTTCAAGGTCCGTGGGAGGTTATAATGTTCAGCCTGCGTAGACAGCCCCTCGCCAGATTGACGTCATCATGAGAATTTACCTTTTTCTCAACATCCTAAATCATTTTGTACGTGTCCATGTGCACTAGAAGTTCCTCCTGTGCCATTTCCCCACCACTATTATTTGAGAAGAGCAGGAAAGATTAGCAAAGAATATCTAATAAAAATGCTCTCATCCCTAAAGACAACGTGGAGAGCTTTTTTTATAACCAAAAACATATCTCCAAAAAAAAAAAAAAAAAAAATACAGGTTTAACCATTTCTCCTCCTATGTTCATTTAACTCTGAGGTTTGTCCAACATAGTGTCATTGTTGCAGGTAAGTTCTTAGCCAAATGTCATCTTTCTTGTTTTGCATTGCCCTTGAAGTGCCTGTCTTTCCGCAGAGTTGCTATGTAGTGGAACTGGGAAAGTCCCAGCAAAGTCTGGTAAAAGCAAACTGGTTTCTGTGGAAATGGTTTGGGGTGGTGTCGTTAATGGGGGGCAATGGGGGGTAGTAAGAATGTCAGTACGTGGAAAGACTGTTTAAAACCAATTTACTTCAACCTTTGATGGCCAAAATTCAGTTTGAATGTACTCCTTTCCCTGAAAATTTCCTAATCTTCGTTATTATTTTAAAAGCCCTGAGAAACAAGATTATGAATTATACCATGCAATCCTGGTCATTATGTTTGGGCTTACACAATACTATAATCTATAGAAAACCCCTTTAATCCTAATATTGTATTGCACTAAATACATTGCTCATAGAGCTCAAATGATGTTAAATATAATTTGATTCATGGCAAATTTGGGGGTAGTTTAAATGTTTTATATTTGCCTTGTTTTCTAATGTCTACTTTTAAAGTTTTATAAAGCAGTGTCTACAAATTTATTTTTTTTTTAAGATACGAGGTCTTGCTCGATCACCCAGGCTGGAGTGCAGTGGCACATTCATAGCTCACTGCAGCCTCCAACTCCTGGGCTCAAGTGATCCTCCTGCCTCAGCCTCCTCAGTAGCTGGAACTACAGGTGTGCACAACCGTGCCTGGGTAACTTTTTAAAATTTCTTTTAGAGCCTGGGTCTGTTGCCCAGGCTGCTCTCAAATTCCTAGGTTCAAGTGATCCTCCCCCGTCAGCCTCCCAAAGTGCTGGGATTACAGGCATGAGCCATTTTCCTGGCCTAAAAATGATTTTTTAAAAAATCAAATAGTACAAAAGGCGATATAGTGAAAAGTAAGCATCTCTCTATCCTAAGACCAGATTTCCTCCTCCTGGGGAACCACTCTGAGCAGTTGCCAGAGACGCACTGGGAAAGAAATTATTTTCAACTCCATTTTCAAATCCAATCAAACCATCAATGGCCAAATAAATTGCACACGAGCAAGATATCAAAATTTTTATCTTGCATGCACCTTTTCTCTGGAAGCTACAAAAGGGTGTGTTCCCCTTACGCAAGAGTGTAAACCAGGAAGAAGGAAGATGTGGACTCCAGGAAGCAGGATGGGGACTGCCAGGAGGGCACCCAGGCCCGGAGCCACCCAGCCAGATCAGAGCAGGGCAGGAAGAGTTCCAGGAACCAGGGCTCTGATGCTCTTTACAGCACCAAAATGACCTATGACATTTGGCTGTGTGTAAACTAGAGTTCACGGGTGCTTGAATGAGGAAGAAAGCATTATTGACGGCTATATACAAAACTAAACAAACGAAAAATAAGTAATATTCATTCCAGCAGTGTAGGAAAAAATTTCACAGGAAAGAAAAGAAATGTGACCGTAGCACACTACTATCCCTAGCAGTTACTATGATCTACATGGTCATAAATAATAAGTAGCAAATTCGGATTTAGCTAAAAATTGTGATATAATGAGAAGATGGGGGAGGTGAAATAGTGGCGAGAGGAACAAGGTGTGGCTCAGTCGTCATCTGCAGGAGTAGAAAGTCACAGAAAAAGAAGTCCAAAACGATATAACGAGACACAGCAGGATAAGCACATTATTCAGAGGCACAGACACAAATGCCAGAAGAAACAGCAGAAGGGGGCAGGCCTGGGGGGGAGGGAGGGCAGCAGGGCAGTGCTGCTGTCAGTACTCTTAAGCCTTACAGCACCAGTGACATTTCACACCATGTAAAGGTATGATTTTGATCAAAATAATTTTTAAAATTCATGCCTATGGGAAAATCCATGCAAATGTAAAAGGATAAATGATATTGATGGTCTTCCGGAATGTCTCGGTATTCCATTTCAGAGCCACCCATGTCTAAGGACTGTTCGGCAAACATCTCTTGATGATACACTTAGGAGGGCAGGAGAATACGTCGTTTTATTAATCAGGACAGGATGTTGAGATGAACAGCAAAACGAGCTCTGAAACGCCAGTGGCCTCACACAGTTAAAGCCTTACTTCTCACTCGAAAGGCGGACGCGGGTCGTGGGCTGCGGTCGACTGGAATGCAGGGCTTCAGGTTCAGCTCAGCAGAGAGAGGGATGGGCAAGGCTCGCTGGCTCATAATTGCATTCTGTCTCGGGTTGTTGGCCAGAAGCAGGTGGCCCCGAACTCATTACAAGGGCAGCTGGGGATCTACAGGGGCTTACGAGTTACTGGGAGAGCACCGACATGCTCGGCCGTGCTAGAACAACTCGCCGAGCGCTGCCTGTGAACGGGCAAACGGAGAGAAAGCGGAGTGCTGAGTACAGCGAGGGGGACCTGTGGGTGCATCCCAACCACTCTCCCAGGAAACGAGGGTCTAACCCTGCTACCCACCTCTCAGGATTGTCCTGAGACGCAAAAGAGAAAGTGCTTTGTAAATCATTGCCAGTTTACGACCCTTAGATTATCTGCAGGTAGAGGTTCTGTAAACACGCCTATTGTCAGGAGATTGCATTCGCGCTGGGAGAAAATTTCCTTACCGTTTATTTTGTTTCAAAGGTCTTGACTGAAGGTTTGTAGGTGGAATGGCTGACTCAACAGGAGATCCCTTGATTGACACCATCAAAGTCTCATAGGCCACCCGCCTTGTCTTGTGCCCTCTGCCCCTGACCAGGGTGGGGGCCTGCTGCTGTCCCCCAGCCCCAGAATGGGCTCACACACCACAGTTCTGGTTCCGCTGTGATAAGAACAGCCGGCTTCCCTTAGGCACAATTGCCAACGACAGGGCAAATATCTAACATTCTTATCTTGCTAATCCAGTTATATTACTTTGTCCTGTCCTTTATAACTCTGAAAGTCTGCAAACATTGCTTAGCCTCTGTTTATTTTCATCTTCGCCAAGCATTTTTTTTCTTTAATGGTAATAAGAGTCTCTAATAAGAAAGCAAAATATATTGATGTCAGACTGTAGCAAAGAAACATTAAATTGAATACGCACCCTTGCTCACCGTGGGAGCCTAAGATGTTGCAGAAGAAACTGACAGTTTCAGAATCAGTTAGTTCCAGTTATGGTGTTGGCACCTCTGAGGCTGGTGTTAAATAGCAATGCGGTGGTCCACTGAGACTTCAGCCACGTCCAGCCTGGGGTTCTCCTGTGTCAGCAAGTGGCCTCAAAAGGCACCAGCAAGGTGGCGCGGAGGGTTCTCACTTGCTTTTCTGTGCTTCAACCCCAGAGCCACGCCTGACACTTCTGCGTCCAGCCTGCTGGATAGAACTGGCCACGTGGCCTCAGCTTCACTGCAAGGGAGGCTGGGAGGTCACATCTTCTGTCATACCAGGAAGAAGAAACTTAAATGGGATTTGGTGACACTGGGAACTCACAGCCAGAGTTCCTAGGCTGACGTGGGAGCCCAGCAGGAAGGGCTTTGGGGAAGAAATCCCCAAGCGAGTGACCATGAAATAGACATCTTCAATTTTATACCTGATGCATCTAGTGTTTATGGGAAAATTAATATGGATTTACATTCGTCTTTGTCTTGACGAACAGAGTACTCTGAGCACAAACTTAGCTTTTCTCTGGTGGTTCCAAAGGCCGGTGCTAGGGTGGAGTCACAGGAGCTCGGTCCCATCCCCCATCTTGCCAGGTAACCAGGAAAAGTTAAAACCAGTCACAATCTTCCTGCGTCTCAATTAATTCTTTCAGTCGCAAAAGGGAGAAAATACACTTGCTCTGCCCAAATCACAGGCCGTTGTGAAGTCAAATGAGAATGAGTATAAATGTGTATCGTAATGGTAAAGTGCTATTTTTAATTAATTTTTTTCTAGCAATTAGCTTCCTTTTATATAACTTGCCACCACATTACAGTTTTGCTTTAAAAATAAAACAGTAAAATTAAGCATACCAAATTTTACCCATGGCATCATCCTATAGTGGTTCCTCTTTCTATTTAATGTTTAGGTGCAATCTGCATAGTGATGGGATTACAGTATCCACATCTTCCTTCTAGTGTCATGTATTAGGCAAAATTAGCATGCTCACTTGCATGGCTCATGCTCAGCTGAAAGTTTCGTTCCTGCCCCAAGCTTAATTGGTTCTGCTGCCAACTTATAAACACAGTCTAAAGAAAGCAATGAAGAATATTTTTTCTCAGGTGACTTTTTTTGTTCATTTTTCTACTTTTTATTGTGGAAAATGTTTGACATATAATGTGGTAGGCAGAACAATCCCCACTCCAAGATGTCTACATCCTAATCCCCGGACCTTACGAAGACGGAAGGTTACACGGCAAAGGGGAATTAAAGTTGCAGTTCAGCTGACCTCGGCATGGGGAGATTATCCCGATGAACCCGTGGGCCCAACGTAATCACGTGAGTTTGAAAAGCAGAGAACATTCTGTGGCTGGTGAAAATGAGACAGACGGACAGACACCAGACAGTGGCGGTGGAGGGGATGGGTATATACATACACAACGAATGCGATGTGCACCAACTGGGGGATGGACACGCCTGAGGCTCTGACTCAAGGGGGGAGGGGGCCATGGGCAATATATGTAACCTTAACATTTGTACTCCCACAATATGCTGGAAAAAAATTAAAAATGGAAAAAAAAAGACCGCATCGTGAGGACACGACCTGTGCTTCAGGCTGTGAAGATGAAGGAAAAGGGTCACCAGTCCAGGAATATGGGCCACTCCTAGAGGGTGGAAAAGGCAAGAAAACCTTCTCCCCTGGAGCTTCCAGGAAGGAGCGCTGCCCTGCCCCGCTGCTTTGGCTGGAATGTGTCCCCAGAACGCACGAGTTGGAGACTTGTTCCCCAGGACAGCAGTGCGGGGAGGTGGGGGCTCACGGGGGGTATTTGGGTCATGCCCGCTCCGCCTCGTGGATGGATTAACGCTGACCGTGACCGCGCTCGAGGCTGGGTTTGATCTCTCGTGCCCTCTTGCCTTCTGCCATGGGATGACGCGGCAGGAAGGCCCTCCACGGATGCTGGCCCCTGGATCCTGGACTTCCCAGCCTCCAGAACCATAAGAAACAATTTCCCATTCATTACATTACCCAGTCTCAGGTATTCTGTTACAGCAGCACAGAACAGGCTAAGACGCCCACTGATACCATGAGTGGAGACCCATGAGACCATGGTGGACTTCTGACCTATAGGACCGTAAATTTACATTGCTTTAAGTCACTAAGTTCGTAGTTATTTCTTACACACCCATAGAAAACTAATGCATGTATGAAGAAGAGAAAATAGTGTAACAACCCCTTGTGTACCCATCGGCCGACTTCATGACTATGGACTCATCTTGCTTCATTGACACGTTCACACACTTCCTCCCAGTGATGTCAAATTATTCGGAAGCAAATCCCAGACATTTCATCCTTCGATCCATAAATATTCCACTATGTGTCTGTAAAAGACAAGGACTCTCCTTTTAAACACAGCTATAACACAACCATCATCGCTAAAATTTAATGACAATTACATAATATCATCAAATATTACTATCTAGTTTGTGTCCAAATTTCCCCAGTGAGCACATAAATGCTTTATTAGAGTAGATGTGTTGTAACCAGAAGACCAAAAAAAAAGCCATAAATTGCAACTGCTCAAAATGTTGCTTTCTTTGTCTCTTAATCCACAAGACTATCCCCACCTTTTCTTCTTACAATGTATTTATTGAAGACACTGAGTGGTTTGTCCTGTAGAATTTCCCACCATCTGGGACTTTACTGATTGCCTTTAGATACAGAGCTTTGATTTTTATCTAGGTTTCATTTTTTAAAAAACAAAAATACTTCATAGATGAAATTGTGTAGTTCTGTCAGAAGGCCCTTACTCTCTGGTTGTCTCTCTTTTCTGTGATATTAGTAGTCATTTATTATTATTGCTTTGTTCCATTATTGGTATTAAGGGTTGCAACATGTGACATCCTGATTCTATCGCTCCTTTTTTATTTATTGTCATCAATACAGCTATGAGAAGACACTTCCCGCATCCAATATGTGGATACTGTAAGGCAGGGATCAGCCCTCCTTAGGGCCTTATGGCACTCTTGGCTTTGTGGGCCACACTGTCTTGGTGGCCACGACTCAGCTCTGCTGTTGTGGCATGAGAGAAGCCACAGACAGACCCACTGCGCTCCAGTAAAACTGCATTTACGAAACCAGAGCAGTGGGTCCAATTTGACTCTCAAGCTCTGGTTCTCCAACGCCTGCTGTTAAGTATATTCTGTATAGGAAAAGCAAGATAAATGTTGTATTCTTTCCCTTTGTTTACTAGTTCCAAAGTAATAAATCGGTCCCTCGACATTTTCTAAATGTGACCAATGCGTATGTATGTGTGCGTCTGTGCGTGTATGTTTCAATATCATTAAACCACAGACTTCAGTGCAGCTGTTATTCTTATTACAGTCATTGCTACTGGCTTTGGAGTCCGTCTGCCCTGACGCTAGCCCTGCTTGTTGGCTGGCCTGCTTTCCGCTGTGAGAACATAGTCCAGGCTCGTGTTTTATATTTTCTGCCTCAAATCTGAAATCAGCTATTTCTTCAAGCATCTCTCGTTCCTTTTCTTTTAGGGATCACAGTGTGGACGGTGAGAGCCTTCAAGGCTAAAGGATTGTTCCTCATTTCTAGACCTTTAGCCTAGGTAAAACTGAGGAAATGTTTTAAGAGAAAGGGAAAATACATCATGAGTTGAGCCTGGTTTGCCAAACCAAAGTCAGAACAGTCAAGTGTTTATTTATGTTCATAATCTTATATTTGCATCACCTTTCAGCAACACGGAATGTTCTTGTTCTCAACATAACTACTTACTTGCTCTATTTTACATTATCACCACAAATAAGATCGCTGGAAACATTTTCAAAAATAACTTTTTTGTTCACTCTTTTGTTTTTAGGGTTTATATCCCAGTAAGGATAGATGTCTATAGATAGATTACTATATTTTAAGGTCACTTGAAATACTGTAAAATAGTGTGTTACTGTGCCACAAAGTCAATATGCAGTGAAGTTCATTTGTTTCATTTTGCTTTTCAATAAATTTTGGAAATTACTTTTTTATTTCATTTTGGTGTATAATCATGAAAATATTCACATTGCTACAAAGTCAAATGTATGAAACAAGGTGCTCCTGGTGATGTTTATGTTCTAACTTTTCTCTGCAACTTGTTCTTTTGTGCCATCTATAGGTAGCCGTTTTTGGCTTACACAATTGCCACTGTCACCCCACAGAGGGTGTGCGGCAGTTGTTTTTCCTTTAGAACAAACAGATTCATGTCTCAAGGTGCAGACAAAACATTTGTAAAGAACTGGCCTTGTGTTGCATTTTAACCATTCGGTGCAGCGCTCACTGGCCGCGGAGCCTCGCCCGCAGCCGGCACTCGCAGCCCGCACGGTAGTGTGTGCTGTGCATTGACGGCGAGTCTGTCTTGCTCTTGTGTGATGAGGAGAGCTTGAAAGCACTGCAAGCTTGTTTCACTTTACAGGCAGCTTTACTTGTCATGTAAATCAGAATAGGGAACGTATACATATATGTTGTTATTACATTATTTTTAAATGTTTGCAATTTTATTTTGATAAATGAAAAATTAGAAAAGTCAAGTTTTAGCTAGCAATTGTTGTTTAAAGGGGGACACTTATTTTGTTTCATTTCTGGCACCTTGTTTTTTGCCCAGAAACTAAAAGGAGAGCACTCTTACAGAGTCCTATTTTTACCATCTAAGAACCATCAGTTTTCTTTACCAAATACTGGCCAGATGACATCATTTTAAACAGTAAAATTATGGGGATTATCACATTAGCATTTACATAGTTTTTTTTTTCCAGCATATGATGGGGGTACAAATTTTAAGGTTTCAATAAATGCCCTTTCCCCCCTCCCCCCACAAGTCTGAGTCTCCAGCATGACCATCCCCCAGATGGTGCACATCTCACTCATTATGTATGTATATACCCACCCCTCCAGCCCCCTGCCCAATACCCTATTACTG